GGTCGAAATAATATTTGCTTGGATGGCATTCAGACGAAAAAAACCCATTAAAATTTTAATGGTTTTTTTTTCGTCTGAATGCCATCCAACGGCAAGCGACATTTTCATCGAAAGTTCTACAAGTTCCGGAGTCGTTGAGTAATAAAATAAGGTTGGCTGATGATTTGGATGTTTTTCAGTATGATTATTATTATTTTTTTTTTTGGACGAATATTGTCGTTATGTAAATGTGGCTGGGCTGCTCAGTAGTTGCACGGCACTCGTGGTGCTTTCCGACGCTGTGCACTGCATACCGTTCGCTAAGGCTTGAGTAGCTCCTTTTGAGCACACCATATACGCTTTACTGCCAACGAGCTGTGTTGTGTCTACTTGAAAGTCGACCGGAACCGTTCAGCTCGGTCGGCGACTCAAGCGTCGCTTCAACTCTTTACAGCTCACCCCAGCACCACCATGGTAAAGCTGTTCTCCTCCTCTGCTTCCTCTGCATGTGAATACTAATACCATATCACTACAGGGCCCCAAAAAGAAAGCCAAAGCCCCCAAGAAGACCAAGGAGGAGCTCGAGGAGGAGCGGCGTCTGCAAGAGGAGCAGGAGGCGCGGCTGCGAGCCGAGGAGGAGAAACGCATCGAAGAAGCTCGACTGAAACGCGAGGCAGAGGCGGCTCGACGCCGTGAGGAAAATGCAAAGAACCGCGCTGCCGAGCTGGCACATCTAGCACTCGAGCACGAAGAGGCCAAGCATGACCTGGAAGCCAAAGCGGTGCGTCTCGCTGAGCTGCTCCGTGCGCAGAAGGAAGCCAAGGATTGGGACAACTACTTGGCCTGTCAGCCACGACCCGACGCACAGGTCGAAGGTGACATGAACTCCTTCTTGAACTCGTGGCAGCTTGACACAGCCACGCTGGAGCTGGAACTACCCGCCGTCACTGCAGCTTGCGAGAGCGCCACCGAGGTCATGGAGGACTTGACATTCGTGGCGGCCAACGCGTGCGCTACCAACAACGATCCGCTGCGAGCGCAGTGTGCACGCTTCATTTTTCGCCTCCAAGAGCTCGTTATCAAAAAGGTGGATCTCACCACTGCCCATATTCTTCAGTACGCCGACGAGTACGCTGACTTGTCGCCTACAACGTCAAACAGCACTAACTCATCTCGTGGTGAGGTGAAATTAGCTAGTGCGTCCCCAAATACGGGCTGGGTGCAGCTCGGACTATGGGTTAACCTACTAGCTAAAGGGTCTTCGCGCAACAAGCGAGTGGAGTTTTCCGAGCTTGGTGTAAACGTGGATCTCCCAAAAGCTGTCATCACTCAGTCGTTGGCGTTGCGTGTGACGCGTTGGCCGTTTGACGCTTTCTCGTCGCTGTCAGAACGTGGGAGTGATGTAGCACTGGGTGGAGTCTTCACACTTGAGTTACTGGCTGTACCGTCGCCTCCGAAGCGTGCTCGTGGATGGATCATGCGGGAGGTACCCGACGCACGTGAACAGCTTAAGCGGCTGCATTATCCATTAGATGGTATGGTCATTTCTGCTGCAGTACCGATCAAAGTTAGTATCACACTACCCAAGGACGTACTGTACGCACCGACATCATTTATCCGTGCTGGAAGTGCCGAGCTGCCTCGAATTGGCTGGTGGGATGTTACGCGACTGCGTTGGGAAGAAGAGGGCGTGACCGACGTCTTGTTCCAAGAAGAAACCAACTCCGTCAGCTTCAGTACATTACGTCTCACTCACTTGGCATTGCTAGTTCGACGTGATCGTAACTATCATAAGCGTTCGTGGAGATTATGCATGGACACCAGTTCACGACGAGTTGCTGAAGATTTATCTGGAGACAATGAGCTTGGAGATATGCGCGCACGTTTAACGCTGAGCACGGCAATGTTCCTGCGTATTCAGTTCGAGATAACACCACAAGGCGCCAGACTAGTAGAACCAGCACTTCCTCAACTGAAAGCGTTGAGGGAAGAAGCAAAGCCTCCTGGAGAATTACTGACGAGATTGGCTCGTGCTGGGATTGATCTATGTCCACCGCTTGAAATGAAGTACGAGGTTGATGAAGAGAAGCAAACAACACGCTCAGATTTCGTTCCCAAGCTCAAGATACTGGAGGACCGAGTTATTGACGAGATTGCCAGTGTGGTGGCTGGGTTTGAGATCACCGATGGCAATGGTAATGCGCATATTAATGGCGCAGCAGCCACACGTTGGCCAGGAGTGGTCGGTAACAGTAAGCAGATCGTGTTCTCAGTCAAAGAGATGTCGTGGCCATACATGACAGACGACAATGAAGGAAACCAGCAACAGGCTGGAGAAGATGAAGTCATTAATATCGCTACAAGTGCCGCAAGTGTATTGGTGCTAGCTGAGGTGGATGAAGAGGCTAGTGGGGGTTGCGTCAAGTTCCGATTGGACCGTAAGGGCGACAGCGATACAGAAACAACGATGAAGCCGCGTGAGGGTGACACCGAAGCAGTAGATGGAGAAGAGGAAGACATTTACGACACGCACGTGCATCTCCGACGAGCTCTGGACGAGATCTCGTCTCCGGATGCTCGCGATCGAATGGACAATTCCCACGTATTGTTTGAACTGACACTACAGAAAATGTTGCGTCTGCTTCGCCTGCTCAGCTACTCGCAGCCATCTGCACTGCATGAAGAGGGGGCAGCAACGAGTGCTGCAGAGTTGACTACGGAACCAGACATCAAGGCTAAAGAACCCCACGACGTGGTATCTGACCATGCAACTCAAGAAGGAGGCGAAGCGAGTGCGGTATCCATTGAAAGCAGCTAAACAAGAACAATATATTCTTTCATATCGGAATATTTTTATTTTATGCCTGGAATGGGTTGCAGTTTAGGCGAAGCGCGACGGGATGTCGAGGTGTTCGACAAACTCGGTGTATCCGCCAATATATTTGCCGTCCAGGAAGATTTGGGGCACAGTTTTGACAGGTTTGCCGACGATCTGCTGTAGCGCCTGGATAGATACTTCGGTGGGGACGCTCACCTCGTCGAACTCCCACTCGCGCTCGCGCATGACGTCCTTGGCAGCCAGACAGTATTTGCACGTGGGCTTAGTGAATATTGTGATACCTTTTGCTCGCTTCGTGAGCTTCAGCAGCTCCTGGTCTTGCTCCGAGAGTGCCAATGGGTCGTCGAATTTAAAGTCCTCGAGCTTCATATCGTGCATGTCCAAGTGCAGTCCGCACTCCTGCTGCTTGCCGTTGAATCTTCCAGCACGGTCGTTGCCCTTGTCCGCCTCAGTCACAGGGCGACTAGAGTGGGCGTCACCAACACTCTCGTAGCCCTGTGCCTTGAGCGGGTGATACTCTAGCCGGTTTACAGTCATATACTGCTCAACCTCCTGCTTGCTCCAATTAAGAATAGGGCAGATCTTGAGGCGACCTTCGTACACGTTAACGTGCTTCATATGCTGGCGGTGCTGCGTCTGGTCTGCGCGTACGCCTACGAGCAGCGCCGCAGCGTTCAGCTCCTTAAGAGCGCGTTGCATGGGCTCCACCTTGCGCATGAAGCCGTACTGACGATGCGCTTCCGGTGTTTCGATCTCGTACAGTTTGCCGTAGAGCGCCTCCATTCGCGCGGGTGTGATCGGCGACTGGTACACGCGTACGTCCAGATCTAGCAATTTGGTCAGGTGTGCCGCAAACTGGTACGTTTCCTTGGGCAGGTATCCCGTGTCCACCCACACGACGGGGATATTCTTGCTCACACTGCGTGTCAGATGCAGCATGACGGCCGACTGGATGCCAAAGCTCGAGCTCAGCACCGTTCGTTCACCAAAAGTGTCAAACGTCCACTGTACGATCTCCTGTGCTGTCTTTCTTTCCAACTGCGCATTGAGTGCGTCGGCGTAGACCTCTAGCGAGGAATATTGGGACTCGTCGAACAAGGTTGCTGTCATCGTGGCAATTAGCGAAATGAGCTTTTCGCAAGAGGCGTGATCACGGTGCGAGGGTAGGGTTAATCTAGCTGGTCAAAGAGCGCGATATTATTGGTGATTAGTCGAGCCAATTAAATTCCAGAAGAGTGACCGGTCACCTTTTTCTTGACATGATCATTGGATTAAACTGATACTGAGATGATAAGTGATTGGGTGAAAAGAGAGTTCCCATCGCCCACAATAATGGAAGTTGATGCTGTAATGGAGACCCGAACGTTTGAAGCGAGCGTCTTTAACCTCTACCAGGAAGGACTAGCGCCCGACCAAGTATTGCAGCTATGCTTTCTGCGTCGGCGCGCATCGCGGAGGCTTCGTCTCGAGCGCACGCGCATTGAAGACGAGTTCGTGCTGCCACAACCGGAACTAAACATCTCGAATTTGTTACCCCTTGCTAATATTCCACTAGAGCAGCTTATCGCGAAGAACCCACCAGCAGTACAAACCTGCGATAGCGCAGAGGCAGCGGCTTTAACTGCAATTACAATAGAAGACGTGCGTGAGAGCGCAAGGTGGCACTTCCTGCAGCCTCGGCAAGCTGCAGTTGAAGATGTGCGCCGGTGGTCAGCACTGTCCGAGAGCGATTGGCTGCAGATTCACAGGAGTATGCAGCGATCCAAGAAGCAACAGCAAGACCAAGATGACGAGATGACGGGGCGCAATACTATTGCTAACTGGCCAGATATCGCCGACATCTGCTGGATGCTGGAACAATGCCTCAGTGACGCCTTTGTCGGCTTTGTGTGGGATCATCTACTACTCTCACTCCTGCAGCAGAGCATGAGCACCAACACGTCAATGCACCAGCTTTTGTTCTCTCTCTTAGTCACTCACCACTCGTTGGGCTCGCTCAGCCCCAAGGATTTCCGCGCCAAGGTGCGGGCTCGAAACCTGCGGCAAGTCGATGACGCCTTTGGAGCTCAAGCAGAACTTACCCTCATAGCGATCTACCGAAGACAGCGAGATGCTGCAAAGTAATTAAACACAAAATGCGACAGGTTTCCCTGACCATCACTCTGACCAACAAGTTGAAGTTTCCGCATTGCCTTTTGAGTTCCCCCCTCATTCCGAATTTTGCTGCGTCAGACGCAAAGATCTAGAGAGGCAACACTGCCATGGAGCGATTCGGCGGTTTGAAGAAAGAAGGAAGAAGATTCGGTAAAGCAGGAGCTGCTGCTATTGGAGACAAGTGCAGCGCCGCCCCTGTCAAAGGGAAATTTAAGCTGCGCACGAAAGACCCACTGCCACAACTGACGAGTACGTAAGGGATACAGTTGCTTTCCCTTGCTTCTTCTAGGATCTCAAGCGATAATATGTTATGTAGAGAAACAACCGAATCAGGAGACGAAGCCCAAGGCAAAGTTTCTCATGTCGGCGGGAACAAGCACAGCAACGGAGAAGAGTGAGCTCTTGGGGTTGATGTGCGTTTGCAGATTCTACGGTATTTAAACCCTCTCGTGCTTGTACAGGCACCGCAAAGCTCAGCGGCTTTGCCGCCAACAGCTTCATGCGACCAGCAGCGACGGGTAACCCACCAAAGAAGACCACGGGCTTCAGCTTTATGAAGTTTCAGTCCAAATCAACTGAGCTCGGGAAGACAACCGATGATTTTTCAGCAAAATCGACATTTCCAGGATCAAAGCCATTGCCGGGCAAGTTTTCCGTTAATGTGCCGACCAAGAAGAAGAGCAAGACGACAAGTGGAACTGGAGCAAAGGATAAGGAAACCTTGTTGTTCAAGACACAAGCAAAAGGAACTGCGCCATTTGCTTTCGGCGCAGAAACTAAGTCTTCTGCAGCAAAAAAGAGAAAAGTAGCTGGGTTATTTCATCAAGACAAGAAGACTGCGTTCCCGAGCAAAACTGGACGTGCAAATTCAAGCTTCATGTTGAAAAACCCTGCTCTAAAGGAGGACACAGAGAAGCAGTCCGGGGCTTGTGCCGAGAACTTGAAAGCTATAGGAAGCAGCACCTCATTCGCCACAAAGATGGGTGCCATGAAGACGACGGTAAACGACGCAACTGTTTTGAAGAAGAGAGGCTTGTTAGCAGGGGCAGCTCCAGCATCAAAGAGGTGCAAGACTCAAGACGGTACGTTGCCAACAATGAGTAAGTAGGTTTATGGGGCTTTAATGCTTGGTTGGAACAGTGCGAGGCCTTGGAAATCCCAACAAGATGACCAACCGGGTGATCAAGTCAGGGTAAGATTTTGTATTGAGCGCACGGCCATCATCCTTGTGGTAGCTCATTCCTCGGTTTATTGGCTACTTTTGAGCAGGACTTCTTCAGGAGATGCCTGTCGTGAAAAAGAGGATTCAGGCGTGATTGCACCTCTCGTACTGCTAGCTCTCAAGCCAGCCTCAACATCTCAAGATCCTGTTGCTGATGTGGAGTTGAGTGCTGTGGCTCCGTCTCCTGACTGCAGAGAGGATTGGTACGATTTTACATCACAAAACAAATCTGTCACTTCCTAACGTCGAGTGTTACTCCAATAGTCTTAGCGGAGTTGAGGAAGAGCTCGCAGTGAATCTCTTGTGCACGGTGGTAAGTGTACTCGCTCGAGTGCTTGACTTTTCGTTGACGGGCTCAACTCACATCGATGCCATGTTTCCAGGACGATGACAATGAAGACGAGTTCCTAACGAGGGTGGCTACTATTGAGGAATTCACCGATCGTGTCGGGCAAGAGCAAAAGCAACTTCACAAACGTCTTCTTGACGCCCACGGTAAGATGATGATAGTCCAACAGTGTGCCTGCTGCTAGCTAATCGTTTCCATGCGTTTAGCTGATGTCAGTGAGTGTTTGCTCGATGCCCTTACTGATCTCATGGTAGAAGAGGGAGGCATCGGGATTGATAAGCTTGATTTTGACATGAACATCAATGTCGATGTTGGCGACGCCTTCCTGCAAGATGACGAGATCCAAGTTTTCCAGTAAAGAAGAATCATCGACTCGTGCGTTCAACAAGAATGCATTCGTTTTACTTTGCTCCTAATAGTACCTGCTTCCTTAAAGCCCAGAAGTGCACCACTGCAACCACAAACACAAAACACCATTAGCCACAACACACTTCAGTACTTGGTACCACGTTTTCGTACCTTCTTGAACTCTTCAAAGCTGAGCTTGTTGTCTCCATTGAGATCTGCCTCCTTAAAGCACTGTTCCGCCGTCACGCGAGCCAATTCTTCTGGGGACACGCCCATCTTGGTCTTTGTGCTGTCCGTTGTCTCGTACATGACCTTGAAGATCGACGTCATGTAGCTGATCATCTCTTCTTGCGTGATGTATCCGTCACCATTGATGTCATAGAGCTGGAATGCAGCACGAACTTTATCGTCCATACTCGACCCTGACAACACCGAGAGGCCACTGGCGAGCTCACCGAAATCGACTGTGTTGCTGTTGTCCGTGTCGAATACACAGAAGAGCCTACGGATCATCGCATCAGCTTCTTGTCGCTCTTCTGTTGACTCGTGGCCACCTGCCAGTCGAATGATCTGATCGAAACACTTCTTGAATGCCGCAAACGTTAGCTCTCCGGAGGGAGCAGCCTCAGCGAAGATCTCCAGCACATCGTTAACCTCGTACGTGTCCAGCTTGAGCAGTTGTCGGACGTGCTCCATATTCGAGCTGTTCATATTCAACGCAGACGCTGAGTTTGGTGACAGCAATGCGTCTCCATTAGATCCAGTCATACCGTAGATCTTGTCGGACGGAAAACTAACAGGAGCCGTGCTGACACCGCTCGGACCAGGGCCCTTTCCAGCACCCCACACAGTTTTTCTTGGTGATTCGGGAGCTGGTGATCCACTCTGGCTGCCAACTTTACTGTTATCACGTGAAAACGACCCATTGCTTTGACTCTCGCTCGTGTTGCCCTTTGTCGCTTGCTGTTGACCAAGAATGCTGCTTACACCTGCCGCGGGAGCCTCAAATCGGGACGACTTTGAATACCAGGCTACAAACTCGTCAAAACTCAGCTTCCCGTCCTCGTTCAGATCTGCTTCCAAGAAACATTGCTCAGCCGTGATTGTTGCCAACTCCTCTGGCCGCACTCCTAGTTTTCGGTCAGTCCCCGGGCTGGTCTCATACAAGACCTTGAACACACTGGCCAGGTAGCGCACCATCTCGTCCAGAGATATGAACCCATCTTGATTGAGATCATAGAGCGAGAATGCAGCACGGACCTTTTCCTCTCGAGAGCCACCGCAGAGCACTGACAACCCACTTGTCAGCTCACAGAAATCCACCGTACCGTCCTGGTTCTCGTCGAAGATAATGAATAACCTATTCAGAATAAGCCGCAGTCGCGCCAGACTGACCTCATCGTTCTTGTACTGCTCATCCACTAGCTGCTCGAAACATTCTTCAAAGGCCTCACGGGACAGCGTGCCATTCTCAGAGCAACGGTTGGCAAAGATTTCAAACACTTCGTCAGCTGTGTACTTCTCCAAGTTCGTCATCTGCTTCACCACATCCAGACTCACCCAATCGGGTACTTGGTGCTTTCGTTCTTGTTGCTGCTCGCCGAGAACAGCGGGCACAGGTAGATCGCCCACCCTTTTCGGCTGCATGTACCACTGACTGAATTCTTCAAAGGAAAGCTTACCATCTCTGTCGTGATCCGCTTCAACAAATGCTTGCTCTGCTGTTATCTCTCCAAGTTCCTCTGGTGTCACTCCCATGCGTGCCTCACTGTCAGGATTCACCTCAAAGAGCACCTTGAAGACTGAAGTGAGGTAGAGGCGCATTTCACCCAACGAAATGTATCCGTCATGGTTCACGTCATACAAATTGAAGGCGGCGCGCACCTTGTCCGCTTGGCTTCCACCACAGAGCACCGACAACCCACTCGCCAGTTCGTTAAAGTCCACCAGGCCATTGCTATCCTTGTCGAACAGTTCGAAGATACGATCCACTAGTAATTGCAGTCTGTCCCTCGACTCCTGAGTTGCAGACTCGACTTTGAAGTGATCAAAAGCCTGTCGAAACGTTTCCTTATCCATGGTACCATCCGCAGCTGTGAACTTGGCGAAAGTATTCAGCACTTGCTGAGCCGAGAACGACTCCAGGTTAGTCAGACGTCGCACCTCACGCAACGATAGCCACTCCGGAATATTATTCTGGATGAGTCGCTCCATGTTGGCGGCGTTGGAGCGAGTGTACCACTTGCGGAACTCTGGGAAACTCAAACGACCATCGTGGTCAAGATCAGCCTCTGCGAAAGCTTGCTGCGCTGTACGGACACCCAATTCCTCTGGAGACTCGCGTCCCAGTTGCTGCAGACCAGAAGGCGACGCCTCCTTCAGCACTCGGAAAACAGACGTCAGATACCGCGTCATTTCTTCCATCGAGATGTACCCATCGGCGTTGTAGTCATACAACGCAAACGCAGCGCGGATCTTCTCCTCGGACGAGCCACCACAGAACACTGACAGACCACTTGAGATCTCGCTGAAGTCGACCATTCCGTTCTTGTCCACATCGAATAGTTCAAACAGGCGGTTGAGAATGGTGTTAATCCTTTGGTACTCATCCGACTTGATACCTTGGTTCGTCGAGATGATTTTCCGGAAACATTTATCAAACGACTCTCGCGGCACGTATCCTTGCTCATCGGCGCACTCCGCTAGAGCTTCAAAGACTTCCATGGGCGAGAAAGCTTGCAGATTCGTTAGTCGTCGAGCTTCCGCTAAGCTAAACAACTGCTCCCCGTTCTTCGCAACTTCGCCGATCCCACCTGGTTGCTGATACCACTGCTGAAATTCTTTCAGTGTCAATTGACCGTCATGATCTTGATCAGCCTCAGCAAACGCCTGTTGTGCAGTCACTTCGCCCAGCTCTTCAGGAGTTACACCAAGGGATTGAGTGTCCGGCGACACTTGGAAGAGTACACGGAACACAGACGTGAGATACCGAGTCATCTCATCCAGCGAGATAAATCCATCGCCATTGAAGTCGAATAACGAGAAGGCCGCCTCCACCTTTTGGTCTTTCGTACCGCCACAAAGCACCGACAACCCGCTAGCCAGCTCCCCAAAGTCCACAGCACCACTGTTGTCCGTGTCGAACAGATCAAAGAGGCCGTCAACAACCTCTTGTAACTTCTTCTGCGTTTCAACATCCGATGCTTGCGTCCCCTTGGACTTCTGACCACTAATTACCTTTCGAAAGCTTTCATTGAAGGCGTCTCGCGACAGCAATCCGTCTTCATCTGCTTCACCAGCAAAGATCTCAAAGACTTCTTCCGGTTCATATTGAGCGAGATTCGTGAGCTGCTTAATTTCGTTGAGCGGCATCCAGTGCAGTGATGAATCAACGATGGCGTTTTTGGCGACAGCACTGCTAATTCCTGCCTGTGCCGGGGAATTGTACCACTTCAAGAACTCGTCGTAACTTAACTTGCCGTCGTGGTTCGAATCCGCTTCCAGGAACGCCTGCTCCGCTGTAACAACACCGAGTTCTTCAGCTGACACCCCAGTCTCCTGCCTCATTTCGGGCTGCACTTCGTACAACACCTTGAAAATGGACGTCAGATATCGCTTCATCTCGTCAAGAGAAATAAATCCGTCTTCGTTAAAGTCGTACAGACGGAACGCTGCTCTTACTTTGGCGTCTCGCGCGCCCTTGCAGAGTACTGAGAGTCCGCTAGCAAGCTCACTGAAGTCAATCTGCCCGTTCCCATCACGGTCAAACACATCGTACAAGCGATCTGCCACCATTTTGGCGCGCAGCTTTTCGATCTGAGTGCGTGGGTGCGCCATTTCGATGATCTCAAAGAAGCACTTGTCGAACGACTCTCGGTTCAGCATCCCATCCTCATCTGCATGCTCGGCAAACCGCTCGAATACTTCGACCACGTCTAGGTTTCCCAGATTCGTCAATTGACGCACCTCGTTGAGATCCAAAGGAGCCACGATTTCGTTGAATGACGACTGCTCTGGTCTTGAATACCACTTCTGGAACTCCTCAAAGGTTAGGTTTCCATCCTTATTGACGTCCGCGACTTCGAAAATCTCGCTAGCTGTCACTGCAGCCAGAGTTTTCGCCGAAATTCCAAGCTGCTGTTTCCGTGTAGGATCGAGTGCGTAGAGCAACTTAAACACTGATCCCAGGTAGTGAGTCATCTCTTCCTCTGAGATCACACCGTCTCCATTCGTGTCGTAAACTTTGAACGCAACCAGAACCTTCTCATCCCGACTAGAAGCGCCACATAAGATAGACAACCCGCTGATAAGCTCGTTAAAGTCAACGATACCCTTTTGTTCACTGTCAAATGCGGTGAATAGCCGGTTAATCACTTCATGCACGCGAGTGCTGTCTTCCACCGATAAACCAAGCGTGGCTTTACTGCAGATGTGCTTGTAAAAGCACTCGTCAAAGATACGTCGCGAGATTCGCTTACCTCCACCAGTTGCCGCGGAAAATATCTCCGACACTTCATCCAGGGACATTCCTTCCAGACCAGACAGTTTCTTCGCAACTTCAATCGGAATTACACCCGATGCATCCGCATCGCTCGAGCCAGACGACGAGGTAGTGGCAGGAGCACTAGGACGTGAGCCACTGTTACCGTTCGAGACTTGCGGACGTTGCGTGTGAGGGTTTTGCTGCTCAAACCAAACGCGGAATTCGTCGAAACTCAATTGCCCGTCACGGTTGTGGTCGAAAGCTCGAAAGCATTCCCTTGTAGTCGTTTTAGCGAGCTGTTCAGGCGTCATTCCCGTCTTCGCTGGCAGCTCCGGGGAAGCCTTAAACATCACCTTGAAGACAGACGTCAAGTAAGAAGTCATTTCCTCTGGGGAGATGTAGCCATCGTGGTTGACATCGTACAAAGTGAACATCGACTTTGCCTTATCCGCTCGACTTCCGCCGCAGAGAATCGAGAGTCCAGCACCGAGCTCCTGCACGTCGACTACTCCATTCTTATCGGCATCAAACAGCTCGAAAAGCTCTTTCAGAAGCTGCTGCGTCTTCATCTGCGTCTCGCGACTAGTTCGTCCGTCTTTCGCCAGCAACTTGTTGAAACAACGGAAGAAAACTGGCTGCGATACATTGCCCTCCTTATCTGCCGAAGCCTGAAAGAACTCGAAGATATCGTTAACATCGTACGCGCTCAGGTTCGTTAGCTCCTTCATTTCAGCGAGTACTCCTCGTGAAAACATCGATGACACTCGAGGGGATGACACTCGAGGGGATGACACCGCGCCATTTGAGAATGTTGGCGCACCTGCTGGCTGCATCATTGGTAGCTGGGGTGCGCCTTGAGTGCTGTACCATTTGGTAAACTCCTCAAAACTCAAGCGATCGTCCTGGTTTGTATCCGCCAGAGTGAACGCATCAGCTGTTGTAATCCGAGCGAGTTCTTCTGGAGAAATCCCGTGAAGCTGCTGCATCGTGGTAGGAGAAGTCATGAAAACAATCCGGTATACTGAAGCCAGGTACGTTTCCATTTCATCGCGCGAGATAAAGCCGTCTTGATTGATGTCAAACAATGTGAACGTAGACTTAATTTTCTCTTCCTGAGACCCGCTGCATAGAACCGAAAAGCCGCTGGACAACTCGCAGAAATCAACAAAACCATCGTGATCAGTGTCAAAGCCGTCAAATACAGTCTCCATAATCTTTTGCAGTTGGTTCTTTTCCTCGACACCCGGCTTGTGTTTCGTACTCGCGGCTTGATCCTCAACGAGCTCATCAACGATAGAAAAGAAAGCTTCCCGCGACAGAACACCATCTTCGTTTACTTTCGCCGCAATGACTTCAAATACATCGCTAGGTGCTCGATCTCGCAGGCCTGTGAGTGATGCGACAAAGTTCGATGTTCCAAATGCGTGATGGTCAGTCATACCGGGCTGACGGTGAGGGCCGGCAGGTGGGCCCATCGTATGCTGCTGGTAGTGCCGCCCGTAGACCCAATACCACGAACGAAACTCCTCCAGCGACAGCTTTCCATCTCGGTTTACATCTGCCTCTTCAAAAGCTTGCAACGTTGTGTAATGAGCTAAAGTTTTAGCGTCGATTCCAATGAATTGTCTTGTTGCTGGGGTGGTCTCGTACATGACTTTAAACACTGATGCCAGATACGTCTCCATCTCCTGCTGCGTAATGTATCCATCTCCATCCGTGTCGAAAAGTGAAAACGCCGCCATCACTTTGTCTTCATTTGAATCACCACACAGCACCGAGAGCCCGCTGCTCAGCTCCACAAAGTCTACACAGTCGCTTTCGTCTTCGTCGAATGCATCAAAGAGTCGATCCAAGAACTTCGCAATCTCGTGGGTAGGTTCCCGGTTCAATCTCTCCAAAATGGCATAAAAACATCGTTTGAACTCGGTGCGGGTAAGCACTTCCTTCTTGCCACCATTATTGGACGACGAAGCACTGAAGATGGAGAAAAGATCTGACGCACTCAAGGCGGACAGACCTGTCAGTTCGCGCAACGTTGCCAAATCCAGACCTTCTGAAGCTTGCACACCGTTCCCACCAGTTTTGGTTTTGCCGCGCTTCGAAGCAACGAGTTGTGTCGGTCCAGGCTTGGAATACCATTCTCGGAATGCCTCATAGGACAGCTTTCCGTCCCGATTCAGTGTCGACTCGGCAAAACATTGGCTTGCCGTCACGATCCCCAACTCTGCTGGATTTATGCTAAACATAAAAGCACACAAGCGCATAATTAGTCACCAGTAACTATCGGAGTAGAACTGTTACTTATCAACGTACTTGTTCTGCTGGAAAAGCTCCGGCGTCGATTCTCCAATCACCAAGAACACCGCCGTCAGGTATTTCATCATCTCTTCCTTCGAGATGAACCCGTCGCCGTCCATGTCATAGAGTTCAAACGTCAGCTGAATCTTCTCGTCACGTTCTCCACACGCAAAGACCGAGACACCTCCAAGAAAGTCCGCTACGTCTACAATGTCCTTGCGTGTACTCTGTTCCTCGAAGATGTTGAAAAGTCTGGTGAACATCTTCCTCGCCTGCGGGTCGTAGCGTCCAGACTGCGACAGAATCTTCTCCAGGCATCTGTTGAACGTAATGCGGTCCAATGCGCCCGTGGGACAGGCCTGTGTGAATACATTGACAAGCTGCGGCAGCTCAAAGTCCGAGAGATCGAGATCCAGCTCGTCCTCCGTAGACGCAGCCTCGAAGTCCTCCTTCTCTTCCCCCTCAGAGTCGTCGACGTCCTCGTCCTCTTCGTTCGCCTCAGAGGTCGTCGTGACTGCCTGGTACTCCCGTCGATTGGGCATATCGTGGGCTTTGGCGCCACGTTTGCGGCCATGGGCGCGGTGTCTATGTCTGTTACTTTTCCTAATGGGCTCTTGGGCCTCCAGAGGCTCACCGTCCAGCACGAGGTGGAATGAGGCGTTCTCAAACAGCTCAGGTGAGCGACACAGCAGCGACAGCGGGTAGTACACGTGGCTGGAATCGTGTCGTACCGCCACTGGCGGCTTGTTGACGCCTGGGAAGCCCGCCGTAATGCACTGTAGAAGTTCCTGCAGCGGCAAACCGGGGCAGAGCAACAGCTCACGTGCCTCATTGCCTAGCAGCAGCGTGACAGCGCTCACGCGTGCCGCGTCCTGAGTCATCTTGTCTCTGTGTAGAACTTGGTGTGACCGTCGTTCTCGAATTCCGCACTTGCTCACTTCACTTTGGGACTGGGGAGATCCAAAGCTGGAGTGCACGTCTCTACACATTCGACTAAGTGCGATGTCCTATAATAGGTAACTTTCGGTAATTTATTCGTTGATTCAACTTTCGCTTGAACGAATGTAAAATTTGCAACGTACAGTACCATGACAACTTACATGTTTTTGCCGGTGGCGTTCAAAGCGCCCACAGCGTTTCCTGGCAATGTTGCTGAACGGCATAAAGAAATACTTGAAGTACTCGCTACGACATACGTAAGTTAGCTCTGATGCTCTCTCCGGTCACCATTTTATCAGCGCTCAAGCACCAGAATCCTTGCGCAGGCGTACAGTACACGTAGCGATTGTCCGAACGAATGGCCTGTTCGATGTGTCTCAGTGTCCCTCTTACACTTCACTTACATTAGTCGTGTCGCGTGGTTGTTGACGGACTCAAATCACGCATCTCTCTGGCAGAAGCTGCCCGCGCCAGTCGTCAAATCCACTCATCGCGACGAGCGCGTGCACCAGCAAGGACAGCACTCATTTCGCAACCTCGCTTGTGACCCAGAGAAACCCAAGCCATTCAAACACCCACCAGCACGACATCAAGATGGGCGTCGCTTTCCAGACTATCGGCATGATTGGCTCCTTCGTGATCGCCAGTTCGCTTGTTCCTCAAATGCTCAAAGTGTACAAGACTCGCAGCGCAAAGGATATTTCCTTGCGCTTCCAATTGCTGTACTGCTTCGGCATCGGCCTTATCCTGATCTACGGTTTCGGCGAGAACCTGTGGCCGATCTACATTCCGGCGTCCGTGGAGGAGGTGGCGGGGCTCACCATGCTAGCCATGAAATTGTACTACGACCGTGAGGCCACAAAACCTGGCGCCTCCGGATTCGACAACGAGAGCCACGCACTCGAGCTGGGCGCGTCACCGCTCACGCGGCGGAGCGAAACCAAGTTCACCGGCGTCGTGCACACGCCGTAGGCTCTGCAAGCCCGTTCTACAGAAAATGAGCGCTGAAGCAAACGATAATTATTAACTCGAGGAAATTGAAGCGTTCGTTTGAGATTGTTCGATCAGAAATTGCCGACATTTGATTGATAATTAGGTGGCTTGTTCGTGATCGACCTGCGTTATCATTCTTGTCACAAAATGCACAGATGCGTGCTTCTACGCCGTACGTGTCTTGGCTCGTTGTCATTAACAGTGCGCTTGAGCAGTGTCACACTGGTAATAATCCTGGGAGGCCAGCTAAAACCTCGGTGGACAGCCTCACAGCATTAATTCGGCCAGGAGCAACGTCTTAAAGAAGCACAGCCCAGTAATGGCTAGAACGCAGGCGAAAGACGGCTCGTGGTCAGGAAAGCTAAAAAACAATCCAGGTAAAAAAGTTTTTCCTTACCATAACCACTCAGTGCGTCCGTGAGGTGAACGCTTACTGGGATAAGAACGGGATCAACTATGCCACGAACCCTGGCCCAGCAAGGCGATGATTAGATGTGGCCTTTCACTTGATATTGACGGCTCATGGAGCTCGAAGCAAGTTTTTCCTCATCTCCAGGACATTATCAAAAAGTATCCTGACGAGTTTGATGGCAAGGCTGCAATTACTGTGTTGGTAAATAGTGATGCAAGTGGAAGTTGGAAAAGTGATGCGGAAGATGTGTGTGGGGACTATGATTTGTCAAAGTGACACTAATTTTACCACACATAATTTACACCCACACCATTTTGTGTAAGAAAAATGAAAAATACTTTACATGAACTAATATCAGTTACCCTTATTCGTGACTGCTGTTCTGAACTAATACTACTAGTACTAGCTGTTCAAACACGACAGAATTTGCTGTTGCTGCAGCAGCAACTCATGAGTAGAACTTTTTCAAAAACACCGTACAGTACGGTACACATGTTGTAAATCTGATTCATTTATGCTTTGCTCTGACAGTGAATGGTACCATTTTGTGCACCAAAATCGAATTTAAAAAAAAAAAAAAACCAATTACACCTGACCTTGCGAACTAGTGCTACCGCATCTCGGATCGTTGTCGACTCCAAAGTCCTTGCAAACCTCGCGTCCCAGAGCGTTGACACCCTCAACCACCCAGGCCTTGGTGTTGGCAAACACAAACACCTTGCCCGGAGCGAAAGCGAAATTGTTGGACGTCTCACCCAGGTAAATCTTGCCAAGCAGAATTCCTTCGGGGTTCCAAATGTGCACACCGTCTCCACAGCCAGCCCAAACGTTGCCATCGGTGTCAGTGTGCACACCGTCAGGGATTCCGCTGTCAGCGAAGGCGAACAAACGCTTGTTAGCGATCCTCTTGTTGTCAACAATGTCGTAGGCGTAGATGGTGGCCGGGCGAGACAGGTTGAGGTCTGATTCCTGAGCACCCGTGTCGGAGACGTACAGTGTCTTGTAATCGGGGGAGAATTCGATGCCATTAAGCTGCACGAAGCCGTCGTCGAGAACCTGGACAACACCCGTCGAGGGCTCAAAGCGGTAGATGTGTCGCGGGAGTTTAGGCTCCGCACGGAACTTTTGGAGATAACCATATTCGGGGTCGGTGAACCAGAGGTCACCGGTCTCCGGGTGCTGCCTCACGTCGTTCAAGCTGCTGAAGTTGCGGCCATTGTAGCCGATGATTAGAGGCTCGGACTCATTCGTGTTGACGTTTACAGCGAGAAGCTTGGCGTAGGCTTCGAGGTCGCCTTGGTCGCACCAGACCTGCATCGGAGGCGTGGTGGATTGATCGGATCCAGGCGGGTAGTACGTCGAGCCACCATTTGCCATGGCGAGTCCTGGAAGCTGCGTACTGCGCACAGTGTAGTTGTCGAGGGAGAGGACTGTCATGTTGATGTTGTCTGCGAGCGAAACGTAGTTGGACGAGACGTACAAGGAGTTGTCCTCCTTGTTGTACACACCTCCCTCGTGGAACGCCTGCCAGTCTAGATCGGCGATTTTCTTAGCGGTAGCGTTGGTGCTCAGGACGTCGACGAAGGACGCATCATAAGACAACAATGCGATGCCAGGATTGCTTTCGTTGAAAGTGTGCAGAGAGGTCAGGTAGTCCGCACCGCCCGTTGCGAGGGCGTGGAGATCGACACTGATAAGGGACATTGCTTGACGGCAGCAGCTTTCAGCGGGGGCAGGAAAAATGGAGAGTGGGTAGATTGTGGCCTTGCTTGACTTGAGCCTGTAGGTAGGTTGGAATCGGCACAAATAACACTAGTACACCGGATATCTGTAACTACCGCCAAGGTATCCGTCCCCTCCAGCCTGAAGACTTCAGGTCCTGAAGGGGATTACTGACATTCATAAGTGTACGTATTCCTGATTCAGGAATACGTACACGTATGAACGTCTGTAAACGGCGCTGGACAGCGGCTGGGAGATCAAAAATTGTCCAGGTTATACGTCCGTTACAGAAATATTATCATCAATGCACGTAGCGCCGTGATTCTCGTCAGGTATTTCCGGTCGTGATTGAACTCGACTCGTCTACCGCTGCGGAAAACAGTTGAACCTCAAAGCCGTTCGTATTCTGCTAGGCTGGAAGGACTTCGGCCTTGTCTTGAGGAGTATCTTCACGAATCAATAATATGGGCAGCTCGATTGTCCAGAGATTCTATATGTTGAATTAACTAAAGAGTCCTGCAGATTCTGTAGTCTACGCCTAATAGAAACGTTGTCTGGTGGCCATCTTGGGCTAGTTGCTCTCAAACAGCGTTGTCTTAGATATTCTTGCAGTATAACCGGAAGATTTTCGATCTTGAAAATACTGACTGGCAATGTTCCTTCGTAGGAGAGCTTGATCAATTTCTGAGCGAGTGCGATTTCCTTTATAGTGGTGATGTGCCATGTATACGCGTTGAATCGTTCGAGAAGCCTGATTGTTTTTGTTCTTGATGTCGAAGACGTCGTTCCCTGTAAGGTTACTTGAAGAGTACTTTGGCAGTTCTCGTTGACGTACATGCGTTAGGTAGTATGGGCAGCTCAAGATGTACACGAAGGAACGCCAACGCCCCTGAAATCCGCGAGACGTTGTTAGTTATTATGAGTTTCCGTTCATACCCAAAGCTTGGAAAAAAAATAATAGAATAAAATAATTTTAGAATTGTATTGAAGGAATAACGAATAATTGGAATCCGCCGCTCTCCGTAAAATATGACATTGTACCAATTATGACTATATTGACCTTTTACCATGTTTCTTGAATAAAATGCCCAGAAATCCTGGGTAAGTAACCGCAATAGGTCGTTCTAGACTATCAAATCGTCTGAAATCCTCCTAACAATATACAAAAAATAATTTTAGTTATTATTATTGGTTCTATTAAATGGAGTAACGGATATTATTTCCTGGAATTCCAGGAGGGAGAGATTTCGACACCATGTTATTAGTTTAATAGTACCACGAAAAGGTAACGGAACACCAGGGTTGCGGTCGTATGCGCCAGAAGGTAGGAGAACTCAAATCACCAGAGAAGTCGGATACCACTACAATGAAAAAAGGTATTGTACCACTAGCACAACGTTTAATCCCACATTCCGTGCAAGAAAAGCTGGACGTGCTGGATCCCGTTGCATTCGTCCAGAGCTCCAATCATGATGTCCGCGCCTAGGAGGGCTGCCCAGTTCTACAACATTTCACTTTACCCTGAAACACTACACTTAAGATAAGCAAACTTGGGTTGCTAGCGAGAATAGGAAGTTACATCCGATCAAGAGAGACGTTGGTGCAGATAGTGGTGGCATGATCCCAACGAGTCGGCTCAGTTGGTTGCAACTATCTATCGAAAATTTCTGCAGGATTAAGTTCCTATTTTGACTCTCAATTTTTTTTCTTTTCATTTTATTCTCATATTGGTACGAAGAGCGCATATTTATTGTTTTAGGTGTGCAAAACCCCTCTTTTAGATTGGGAGTCGCAGAGTGCCATAAAAATTACAGTTCCATAATTTGGCGATACCAAACATTGTTTGTAGTGATTATTGAAATAGTGCCAACATTTGGCGAAAGTCCGTCTGTAGTGTACGAGGGGTTTTGTGAAACTTATCTTCCTGCGTAATGCAGTAGCGACGATTCTTTACAAATATGTCTTGCGAGGAGACCTCGAGTCTATTCAGCGAAGATTGAAGACAAAATTTAAACCACCAGTGACCCGACGACGCAGGGATCCACTGTGCAAAGAAAATGTACTTCGTGGACTGGATGTCTTAAAACCACATAAGAATTCTCTGCATAGCGATCCAAATTGGAGAGCATCGGCTTCATTTCGCTCTTCGAGCCAGCTGAAACTACCGATTCAGTTGCAGCGAGGCTTCCCTTGTACACGAGGAGCTCAGACTGCAGTTTGCTATACTCTCGAAGTGTAGCGAAAAGAGAGAAAAACACGAGACCAACGGAACTCTAGACTATCTACTGTTGGGTTGCCGGATAATACCCGGCAAATATGTTATGATGAAAATACGCGCTGGACCTGGTTAAATAAGTGGTAAATCAAGTTCGCGTTACGAGCTTAACTTGTACTGTCCACAGTACTAGTTATTCGAATCTCACTTTGGCAAAATCCAGTATACTGTACTAGATGTAGTCCTCGATTATGAACATTCCTCTATATGCCCGATATTTCGATTTTTTGGTGGTAGGATCGTGCCAATATCAACAGTGTTCGAGCCCTAACTGGATCGTCTTCGACTTAGCTGGGAATTTACATCTTTTACGTAACGAAAGATACTAATGAAAAAGACATTAGATATTCAGTTACGTGCTTAGTTGAGTACAGTCGTGCACCTCCAATTCGGCACCGGTATCAGTCGATACCCTGCCAGATTTTATGATTACGCGAATCGGATGCGCAAGTACCTTTGCCCATCACCACCCTAGCAATTAACCTCAACGGTTTTCCCCTACTCGGGGAAGGATGACACGCCGCATCGATCTGATTTTAAATTTTGGAGCGGACGACTTCATACAAATAAACACTTTATTTTTTACCGCCAAAGACAATGGGATATCGCCCTTCCTCCTACATGTCGCTAACTCTAGCACAAAAACAGTCTTTGTGCGAGAAGTACAAGTCAGATTTTACGCTCTCTCACTCAGAACTTGCTCGTTCTACAAGGGTGTTCCTTACACACCGGTCGACGTCTACTCTGCCATGAAGTGGTTGTCTGAAGGCTGGAACAACATATCTGCAAAGACTATTAGAAATTGTTGGTGCCACACAGGCATCGTCTCAAAACTAAACGTAAATTTACTACTGAACTAACAAAATAAATATCAGTGCACTGGATTTGCGTTTGTTTTATGCTTTACGTTGTGCACTTATGCCCTGGCACTGTTGAGATGGTCCGCCTGACGAATTGGAGGTGCACAACTGTACACACACTCCTTGAAGACCGACAGTCCAACGACTTTTGACATGCAGCACAAGTCGCAAACTTCATTCGAGGGCTAACCCCGGGTGGTAATAGAACGCATCAGGTTACAGGAAGCATTATCCTGGGAGAGCAGTACGAAGTGCTGCCGAGCAGCTTGCAGAAGATTAAATCGTTATTCTTCGATTTTTGTCTTGAAATTTGTATTCAAAAACGTCCGTCACGCTTTCACAGGTTTGTCGTAAATGCCCCGGAATCTCCCGACACCGTTTGCGACCGCTTGTCACCGTTTGTGACCGCTCGCCACCGTTTTAGTTTCTATAAAACGTTTCGAGTCCCCGCTCAAATCCAAAAAATCAACTCGAACCTTCTATACAAAACTTAAGTCAGTG